AAACAGAGCAGGAGGGGAGGGTGGTGTTGTTCAATGGATACAGTATTTGTTTTGCAAGATGAAAAAGTTCTAGAGACCTGTTGCACAAAGATGTGCATATCATTACCAGTCCTTTACACTTAAAAATGGTTAAGATGGTATATTTTATTTTTAAAAAAATTTTATTTTTAAATAATCTCGATACCCAACATGGGACCTGAACTCACAACCCAGAGATCAAGACTGAGTCAGCCAGGTGCCCATAAGACGGTACATAAGTATTTTTTTTACCACAATGAAAAAAAATCCTTAGAACGGGGGTAAAAAGTTACTATTGGTACAACCTGAATAAATCAAATAAATTTCCAATGAACAATGCTAAATTAAAAAAAAATCCAATTCCAAAAAATCACATCTTGCATGAGTCCATCAAAATACCATTCTTGAAATAGCAAATGTATAGAAATAAATAGAATAGGGGGTTTCCAGGGGTTTAGGGGTGTGGGGGAGGTTGGATGTGGCTATAAAAGAGTGACATGAGGGATCCCTGTAGTGATGGAAATCTTCTCTATCTTGCCCATATCGATGTCAACATTTTAGTTTTGATGCTGCACTATAGTTTTCAAGGTGGTACCACTGAGGCAAACTAGGTAAAGGGTATAGGGGACCTCTATTATTTCCTATAACTGCATGTGAATCTATAATTAAAATAAACAGTTTAATTACATTTAAGGAATCTTTTCCCCACATGATGGAGGTTAAGTGCTAACTGGAAATAATGTAGAGATAGGTTTTTGATGCATGATTTTTATGTAAGTGGGGATAAAGGATGCAGGCTGACTCAGACTACACTTCATGTGTGAGATGCCTCAACTCGGTTACCCCACTGCTCACCAAAAAATGCAGTACTGAGAAACCCTACATCATCATTGTTGGAAAAGGGGCCTAGCCAGAATGCTCCTTACATTTTAGTCTTCAAAGGCCTGGATGTTGGACCTGTAATAAGAAGCCAGAGGAGTAATTATGGGCACCAGGACAGGACCCCAGACTCCAGAGCCAGCTTTCTGTGGGCCGCGGGCAAGTTTAGCTAGGTGGCAAACAGCCACCTTCATGACAGAGATTTTCTTCTGATCCAGCTCTGAATGCGTCAGGATTAATATCATCTCTCTGATATCATCTGAGTAGAGAACAATGCACCCCTTTCTTCCCCCTGCACCTGCTTAGATACAGGCCTTGTAAGAACATGGGGGGGACACAAGAGCTAGTGTGTTTGGAGTAGGGTGTTGGCGAAGGGAGCCCAACCATCAATCCATGAAGAGGCCACCACTCCATCAAGAAGGTAATGAACGGTATTAGTTGGCCTGACTGAAGCCACAATGCTGGAAAGACAGAATCTACTGTAAGTCACACCAAAACCTTCTCCATGTTTCTCTGCATGCTTCTGCCCTTCTGGAGCCTCAAGTACTCAAAAGTGATGGGTATGGAGTCCTCACGGGCAGTAAAATCAGGACTAATTGGCAGGCCAGGTGCTGTGTGGGGGTACTTTTGCACATCTCACTGCATTCTCTGAATAGCTTGCTGGTGAGGTAGGTCATTGAGGTACATTACGTGCACCTGACAGATGGGGAGGCTGCATCTTAGAGAGGTTGCAGGGTCTGCCTAAGTTAAGAAGCCTACTTGGAATACAAGGGCTCTCTATCTACGAAGCCTGTACCTCTTGGAAAGTATCAAGCGGCATCACATCTACAAGGAAATACAGGCTGTGAATCACCAGAAAATGGCTAGAGCCCCTAAAATCAGTTGAAAGAGGTCAGAGGGCAGGTGAAAGCTTTCAGCTGAACATAGCAACATTTCCCCCACCCACCTGGCACACAGTAGGCACTCACCAAATGAGCATTAGGCTGAACCGACCCAAAGGCTCTCCCACCCAGCTGTGTGTGCTGGGAGGCCAGGCGGCAGCCGGGGCCCTCTCGCCTGACATGCTAGTTTAGTTTGGAAACGGCAATGCTGTCTGCATTCTTGTCACATGGGGATGCGGCCCTGGGCCACCCTGTGAGACAGGGAGCCACACACACACACTAGGCTGCTTTGAAGTGCATGGGACAAAGAAACTCAGAGTGAGCCCCAGGGAATCAGTGATGACCTCAGACACAAAGTATGAAGTGAGCCAATTGTGGAACCTCTGAATTTTACAGACTAAACAGTGGGGGTGAGTGCATGCCTGGGACTTCTGCTGATGGAGCAAGCAAGTTGCCCTGCGGCTGCTGGGCACGCAGGACAATCTTTCTCTGCTGAGAATGCACACGTGGTCTCTCTGGAAGCAGGCTAGTACGCAGAGCCCCGAGATGGGCAGCATCGCCCTTTCAGGCACTGCCTTTGCCACAGACTGCTGGTATTCCCACTGTCTCTGGATTCATCTTCAAAGTGTTTAGAATGATGCAGAAGCTGGGCCCCCTCCGCTGCTCGAAGGAGACTCTCAATAGAAGACTCGGAGCCTGCTGCAGCCATGAAGTCTGCGACAGCAGGGCACGGGGGCTAGAGAAAAGGCTTGCAAGTGTCCAGACCGTTTCAGACTTAATTATTTCAGATTGGAGGCGGAGGGCAGGCGGGGAGCATGAAAGAAGAAAGAAGACATTAATGAAGGAATAACCGCCAAGGCCATACTAAAAATACTTCCCAGGCACATACTTCTCCCAATGCATAGCAGCTCTTTCAATTAAGGATGTGTCATTTCCTGGGTTATTAAATCCAGATCACAGAACATTCTGCTCTAGGACAGTAAAAGAGAGTCACGTTCTCAGCCTCCCCCAGCACCAGAGCAGCAAAAAACAAGGATCATGGCCCTTGGTGTTCCCGTCACTGGGCTCTCAGTGGAGTTGTTTGAAAGCAAGCTTCCATTCAGAGTGTGTCTATGGAAAGCTCGGGGGACCCAGCATGGCGCTCTTTCTCAGATACCCCCAAATTCCCCCATAGTCACTTTGAAGGACATCATCATCTCAAGCCACTAAGGCACTGCCAGAATCAGAATTTGGGGGAAAAAGAAGCATTAGTAGCCACTTTGCCTCAGTTACTACAATAAACGTCAATAACCTCGAACAACTTGTAAAGCTAACGGCATCTGGCAAAAAATCTCCTCTACTAGACTCTAAGAAACTTAAAAGGAAATTGCAGAGCCTTTCGGCACTGGGCACAGGGACCTGCATGCAGTGGGTACCCAGCAATGTCCATCTCCCTTTCTCAGGGAGAGGGGGGCTATATGCACGGTATGACCAAGGAGCCCTCACTCAAGAGGGATCCCCACAACAGCCCTTTCCAAACAGTTAAGTAGTCTGGAAACTCTCTTGCCTTCACACCTCACCTAACTTGCCTCTGAAGCAATGCGTTTGCAATTTAGTCACCCTAAGAGCCAGGCAGACTCTTGTTAAAGGTGAACTGGGGAGAAACTGAACAGCCAAATGGGCTTCACGGCTAATAATAAGAACAGAGGATTTTAAGCAGGAAAGATCCTCAGAGATCGGACGAGGTCTGGACTACATGGTATTTTCCAACAAATGTGACTGTCACCAACATTTACACATCATGGAGTTTCAGGGGCGTCTGGGTGGCTCTGTCACTTAAGCATCCAGCTCTGGCTCAGGTCATGATCTTATAACTCCATGAGTTTGAGCCCCATGTCGGGCTCTGTGCTGACAGCTCGGAACCTGGAGCCTGCTTCAGATTCTGTGTCTCCCTCTCTCTCTGCCCCTCCCCCACTCACGCACTTGCTCTCTCACGTGCACTCTCTCTCTCAAAAATAAATAATAACTTTATTTTTTAAATTTTAAATCAAGGGGTTTCAGATAAAGAAGAGGCTTTCTGGCTTCTGTTTCAGTGAAATTAATCAGCAGAAATTAATGAGCAGAGCTGCTGGAGCCACCGTGGGGGTGCTGCGTGTCCAGCTGCTTCCAGGCCACCCTGCTCCCCCGTGTCTCCACTCCGAGCTCTGGCCTCGGGTCCTTATCTTCCCTGCCACATTCAGGCATGGCAGGTGGCAACTCGGGACCTACTCTATCCCTTTTTAACCCACAGAGACAGAACTGGTCCCACTCCTATTCTCCATCCTCAAACCCAGTTCCTTTGCTATGGGCTGCAGTATCCCCATGTTTCCAGATTCATCTTCAAAGAGTCCAGGATGGAGCGGACACTGGGGCCCCTCTGCTGGGAAGCCACAGGATACTTCAGATAAAGACTGAGACTGGTGACAGGAGGGGACAGGTCTCCCCAGCCCTGAGAAAGCTGTTTCCTTAGACCTCTCTACCCTGTCCACCGCAGCCCTCCTCTCCCCTGTGTCTGCCCCAGATCAAAACCGGTTCCAGCAGACACACATTTACATCCTCACAACCTTCTATTATTTCCAGTGGGCCACTGTGGGGAAAAAGGCAAACACTGGTCCACAAACACTGCATCATGAAGCACTCAGCCTTTGCTCAGATCAGATGGTGAACACAAGCAGAAACCCCGAACTATAAATAATAAAGAATATCTCAGGGGGTGCCTGGGTGGCTCATTCAATTGAGTGTCCGACTCTTGATTTCAGCTCAGGTCATGATCTCATGATTTGTGAGTTCGAGCCCCGCTTGGGATTCTCTCTCTCCACCGCCCCTCAAAATAAACAAAAAATATCTCAGGAATCAGTAGGGCTGTCAAAGAAAGAATATGGTCGCTGAGAAGATGATGACGACTAGAGAAATCAGGGAAATAACAACATAGGTCTTGGTGAATAATCGACTGGTTTGTACCAAATACAGTACGAGAGAGTTTACATGTTACTTCTTATGTTCACAACAACCCTATGAGGCAGGTGGTATTTGCCCCGTTTTTAAAGATAAGGAAAATGAATGCAGAAAGAACAGTGCTAAAGTAGACAGTTTTCTCTCTGGGCTGGTGGCTCAACCCCTTTCCACTCATCTGGATGAGCCTGGTCCTGCCGTGAACAGCCTTTTCCAGGACTGGCCTGTGGGGGAATCCGAGGGCCTACTTACGCTCTGCCATTCGTCTCCTGCCCACTGGCTGCTGTCTTGGACTCCAAGGCGTTGTTGAAGTTGGAAATGTTTTCAGAGGAATAGAGGCCAGCTGGGTTGTTGTACTGGTTTGTGATGACCCTGGGGGCAGAGCTGGTGGCCGGTGAGGCAGTAAAGGGCACAGCACTCCGGTTGTGGGCGCTCCCTATGTGCGGGACCTCCTGCAGGCAGAGATCACAGGAGAGATCAAGGGGCGCTCAGTGCACACCCCTGAGGGACGGTGCAGGCTGAGTGCCAGAAAGAAAGGTGTTCTGTTGGGCTACGGTGGCCCTGGTTCAACAGGGCTCTGACATGCCCACAAGACACGCAATGACCAGGGAAATCTGAAGACGGGCATGTGGGTTTCGCACACCAGTTCCGCCTTCTTGTTCTCCCCCGAGGCCCAGGCAAGCCTGACCTGCTGCGAAGCACCCCTGGACACAACACCCCTAGATGCCTTGGGCTGTCATGATCCAAGCTGGAGCTTAAAGGCCCTTTCAGGGCACATTCCAAAGGGATTACGGTACAAGGGAGAGAAGAACAGGCAGGCGCTTGGGGCAGTGCGGAGCAGATGATAAAAGGTGGAGACAAATGCCCTACAGCTGAGCTGAGCGGGTTAGACAAGCAAGATAAGAGGGAGCCTGTGGGGCCACAGGGCAAAGCCACTGCTGAGGACTCAAGCAGGAAGGGGTAAAAGGAGTTCAGGATCTGCAGTTTCTTGTAGGAGAAGGACAAGGCTCCCCAGATGGAAGGCAAGGGGATACTTGTTACAGGGGTGGTGCCCAGGGGAGCTGCTGGGAAGTACTTTGAGCTCCTCTGGGCTCATCCCCCTCTTTCTGTAATTTGAGACAGCGCCCTCCGCCCAGGAGCCAAGGATAATTCCTACAGCTACAGGAGCTCAGAGCTTCTTTACAAAACGCCCCCAAAACTTTTTGCACTAACATTCCTGTTTTTAAAAATGGGCATGGAGGAGGGCACTCGTGGGGATGAGCACTGGGTGTTATGTGGAAACTAATCTGACAATAAACGATTTGAAAAAAAAAAAAATCATGGATTTTCTGACAACTCAGTCAGGAAGGTGCTTTCTGCACGAATGTTCTGGACCCACCCAACAGCACACTGTGCAGCTACTAAACTTGACACGCACCATATTTTCTGTGTTCCCCAACACAGAACCTTCCTGAACACTGGTCCCCTTCTTAATACTCAGGCCCAGAACAGCTGATCCCAAAAGAGTTCCAGTCTTCTGTCTATTGCTCTTCCTTTTTTTTTTTTTTTAAAAGTTTAATTCATTGTATACTGATTTTTTTTTTTAACAATTATTTATTTTTGAGAGAGAGAGAGAACATATGCGCACAAGCAGGGGAGGGGCATAGAGAGAGGGGACAGAGGATCCAAAGCAGGCGGACTGCTGATGCGGGGCTCGAACTCACAAATGGGGAGATCATGACCTGAGCTGAAGTTGGACTCTCAACAGACTGAGCCACCCAGGCACCCCTCACTGTGTACCGATTAAAAATAAAAAACAAGAGGGGCGGCTGGGTGGCTTAGTCGGTTAAGCGTCTGACTTTCGCTTAGGTCATGATCTCGCGGTTCGTGGGTTCGGGCCCCGCGTCGGGCTCTGTGCTGACTGCCAGCTCAGAGCCTGGAGCCTGTTTCAGTCTGTGACTCCCTCTCTCTCTGACCCTCCCCTGCTCACACTGTCTCTCTCTCTCTCTCCTAGAAATAAATAAAACATTAAAAATTTTTTTTAATAAAAAAAATAAAAAACGAGAAAATATTTTTATGATTGAGATTTATGATTTATGATTGAGATTCTTTTTCACTATTCAAATAGGCTTCTTCTTCAATAAGTCAGAACCAGTGAGGTTTTAAGGCACAAATTACATTCAGTAGACTTTGTCCACATTGGACAAAGGCTAACTACACACAAGTCATTCACAAAGGGGGAAGTATAACCAGGTAAGGAAGTGACTTTAGCAAGGATACATGGGTGGCTCGGTCAGTTCAGCGTCCAACTTTGGCTCAGGTCCACAATATCACAGTTTGTAAGTTCAAGCCCCACCGTGGGCTTTCTGCTGTCAGTGTGGAGCCCACTTCAGATCCGGTTTCCCTCTCTCTCTGCTCCTACCACTCACTTGCTCTCTCTCAAAAATAAACAAACATTTAAAGAAAAGAAAGAAAATGACTTTATCAGCAATCAAAGCATGGTTAAGTAAATTTTATGGCCCAACTGCCATGAGGAATAATACGTAGTCGTTAACAGCAGGGGACGTGAAAAAGGTTGGTGGTCTGGGACTTTGGCCCACGTCAGTGACTGCACTATAGCACTGAGGGACAGACATACAGCTGCAGCCAGGGACGCAGTTCTGTCCTCCCCTCTGTCTCCACAGCAATTCCAAGGGACAACACAGGATGCTGAGTACCAAGGAAGATTCCTATTGTTTTGTTCTGCTCAAATTTCCCCATCACTTCCTCTCTGGCTATGGGCAAGTTACACCTCTCTGAGGCATTTCTCATCTTTACGTGGAAGTGAGTAAAGCCTTCTCTCACAAGCATTTGGTGTGACCTATCAGTGCACCAACCACAGTGACTGCCACACAGCAGACATTCAAGCAGCATGTGGTCCCTTCTCCCTCCCTCGAAACACATTTCCAGTTAGAATGGAGAGTCAATTGAAAATTATTCTGGTTGGAAATTCTGATCTTTCACTTTATAGAGAGTCTTCTGAGAATGTATCCGTTTTGTACATAAAAGGAATATCTCTAACCCCATGTGAATACTGGTCCTTCCAGAAGTCAGGCGGTTAATTCAGGGCCTGCCTTTTGGAATGGATGATGTAATTGTTTGGGCTTTGTATTTATCAGTCTCCAAGGAAACTGAATAATGAGGAAATATAAACTAGGTGTGTAACTACTCTGACCTCAGATAAGCTGGGGTGGCGGTTGGCATTACATGAACTAACAGATCTTTTAATTATAGATGAACTCTGTTCTTACTCATTCCTTTATTTTAGAATGACTGGAAGTGAAAGGCTTTGGAAAAAGGAGAGTGGGAAGTTTTTCAGAGAACAAAGAATTACTGGAATCAAAAGAAAAATATACTCAAGTTAGATCTTAAAGTATCTGAGAATTTTTTTAATTCTTTTTTTGAAGAAGAGAACTACCTTCAAAATATTAATAAAGGAACCAGAACATAGGCTTAACGATGAAAATTCAAGCATGAGATATAAAAAGTGTAATTGAAATGGAAGGATTCCCTTATTTAAGTGAAACATAAGACTTTAGGTAGACCAAATCAAAATAAAACCATTCCTTATGTATTATAAAATATATGACAACTTAGCACATTGATAACTTAACATTTATAGTAAATTCAGCAAAGTAGCTATGAACACCTTGGGAAACTGGAAATAACAGTGGCACATTTAAAGTTAGTTTGCATGCAGAGCCTAGCTGGCTCAGTAGGAAGAGCGTGTGACTCTTAATCTCAGGGTCATGAGTTCGAACCCCACGTTGAGTGTAAAGATTACTAAAAATAAATAAACTAGGGAAGCCTGGGTGGCTCAGTCGGTTAAGCGTCCGACTTCAGCTCAGGTCATGATATCACAGTTTGTAAAGGGTTCGAGCCCGCATCTGGCTCTGTGCTGACAGCTAGGTCAGAGCCTGGAGCCTATCTTTGGATTCTCTGTCTCCCTCTCTCTCTGATCTTCCCCTGCTTGCGCTGTCTCTCTCTGTCTCTCAAAAATAAATTTAAAAAAACATTTAAAAATTTAAAATAAATAAATAAAAAACTAAAAAAAAATTAGCTCCTATGGCTGCCAGTTTACGACTGAGTGCCATTCTATGAGCATTCCTCATAGGAGCTGAACAGAAGAACATGTTCAGGCCAGTTGTGAAATGCCAGATTCAAAATGGTCCTTAATGTAACTCTTAGAATTTCTTGAGTATGATTTTTATTATATTAATGCAAAAAATGTTGTACGCCTACATTTTGGAAATTTTAATGGATACCTTTGAGAAAATACGACTTACAAACAACCACTCATTTATTTACACCAACGTACTCTGTGAGTTCATATTCATAGAAGCTTCTGTCATATATAAAGGAGAGCTAGCTATTTGTTACCTCTTTTCTTTGTATCTCGATTCATCATCGTGCCCCAAGCTTTTTTAGAAAAAAAAATTAAAGTTCAAATCTTCAATTGGGGTTAAATGCATAACAATCACACATCAGTCTAAGAGAAATTTCAAGAGCCATTATCAATTTATTTGTTAACTTATTTATTTTTTAAGATTTTAAGTCAAGCAATCTCTACACCAACATGGGGCTCGAACTCACAACCCTGAGATCAAAAGCCACATGCTCCACTGACTGAGTCAGCCACGCGCCCGTTTATTAACTTATTATTAATAATCCATTAACTTATCCAAGACGCACACTTTGTAAAAAGTCAGACACAAGGAATTTTACAAAAATGTTCTAAAGATTCTTAAGTTTTTTCCACTTATTTTTTTTAAGTTTACTTATTTGAGACAGAGACAGCATGAGTAAAGACACGTAGAGACAGAGGATCACAAGCAGGCTCTGTGCTCACAGCTCAGAGAACAGAGCCTGCTGTGGGGCTTGAACTCATATCGCATGATCATGACCTGAACTGAAGCCAAGAGTTGGACAGTTAACTGACTGAGCCACCCAGGGACCCCTCCCCTTATTTCAAAATACCCATTTACTGTAGATAATTTAGAAGATCCAATTAAGGAAGAAAGAAATAAAATCACTTACAATTGATTTGTTTACAAATATGGGATCTTTAGACAGTCTACTGTCCTCAGAAATTCTATTTGGCTGACACACTGTGCACGGATTGCCTAGCACAGTTTCAGTCTGAAGTGTCACTTTATTTTAGTGATTTTAGGGTCTCACTGAAACAAAACTGGAGACTTCCATCGCAAGGCTCAAGGAAACGAGAGAGCAGGGTCCAGGGAGGAGAGGCAGAGTTACAATCATGATCTTTCTCTAGGTTCCTGGCCTCAGGACCCACGCTTGTGTTCACCCTGGTACGACTGGCACATATCTGAAATCCACGGGGAGCTGAGCCAGCTTCTTTCCTTCACACAGTGCTGCCACCCTACTCTACACAGGAAAGCTTCCACCCGCTTCCTGAATCGCTTCCTACATTCTGTGTCCAGCCCTGGCGTCACTGCCTTGGGGCTTTCCAGCTCTTTCCTCCTGAGTTCCCTTACGGGAAGAAGTGAACAAGAGCCAGGTCCCAGGGTTATCGGTGGAGGGCTCTCCTGACCCTGGCCCAGGCCTCCAGGGCAAGAGTGTGCTAAGCTGTGTCAAAGGCAGACAAGGCAGGAGAAGTGGCAACGGTGAACGAGTACTTACTTGGGGTTCAGAGGCTAAATTCATCTTGTACGGATGACGTTTCCCTTCCTCTGTCACCAGGGGAGACCAGATTTTTTGTTCAGACCTGCAACAGATTGACAAAGTTGTTTCATTCGTGCTAAATCACATATACTAAAAACAGGATGGGAAAATGCCCTCTGTTGCCTGACCTCTGCGCCCTTAAGCAGCACTCTGCCTGCCACCTGCCTTCCCCTCTGTTTGCCAGGAGGGTAATCTTCCTAAAGCACCGATCTGAAGACGTCTTGTCTGACGGCTTCCCTTGGGGCACAGACCTCTTCCAGCCTCATCTTCCACCACTACACTGTGTCACTGACCCCCAGCCACATCGGCCTCCTCTACAATCTTGAGCAGCCTCATGCTGCCCTACCTCTGCTGGACAGAAAGAGCTTCTCCGTTACCCCTCCCAGTGTTCTTGAGCCAGACCGGGGAACCGACTTACTATGTGTGATGGCTGGCTGGCCCAAATAAAAGTGATGCTTCCCTTCTTGAGTGTGCAAAGGATTTCTTTGTACTGATCACACAGCATAAACCTCAGTCTAGTCTCAGCTTTCATTAGTGTAAAATGAAATAGAATATTTATGCTTATCCTGTATTGCCAGAGTGCCAAGCACAGGGCCAGATCCAAGGCACACTGTTGAATTTGTTGGTAAATGAAGAATAATAATAAAAGAATGAATAAATGACTTGGAAAGGATTTGGACTAAGGTAGAAATAGAGAGGAGAATGAGGAACAAATGTGCTTTTGAGGGTATAGAAAAAAGTGGTGCGCGGGGCGCTTGGGTGGCTTAGTCGGTTAAGCGTCCGACTTTCGCTTAGGTCATGATCTCACGGTTCGTGGGTTCGAGCCCCGCGTCGGGCTCTGTGCTGACTGCCAGCTCAGAGCCTGGAGCCTATTTCAATCTGTGACTCCCTCTCTCTCTGACCCTCCCCTGCTCACGCTGTCTCTCTCTCTCTCTCTCTC